GGCCAGTGGGGTGGCCAGTGGGGTGGCCAATGGGGTGGCCAATGGGGTGACCACCCCCTGGTGGCGCCGCTGCTCAAGGGAAAGCAAATAGTATTGTGGTGAAAAGGCGACTCAGATGCAGAGTAACTAATCTATCTGTTGCATTCATTGTGTTATTATTTAGAGTCTTTGGTTTACCTCCATTTACCAGTAGAGAGTTAAAAAGAAGAAGTAGCTCCGCGTCTGCTAGTCTATTTGTTGTTTAAAATTGCATCTGTTTTTTGTGGGATTTAAAGTTGTAAAATGTATCTGATGACGTTCCTGTCTCTTCCAGTTGCTGTCATGTTCTCCCGCATGGCTGTCCAGGAGATTACCCTGGACCGACCGTTCCTCTTCCTCATTCAGCACAAGCACACTGGTAACATTCCTTCTTATTCCGATTGAGTCAAACTCCAGCAGCGGAGCGAGCAGCTTCTCATTGGCGCCTTCTCTGTTTTCAGGTGCTCTTCTCTTCATGGGTCAGTTCAACCATCCTGAATAACAACGCCTCACAGACCGACCGCCATCATCAACCCCACAGCGTGTGACTACTACTGCTTCTACGTCCTCCCGACGACCACGAAGCCGACACTCTACGTGTTTCAGCGATGGTTGTCGTTATTCAAGGACGTCCTTATTTATAGTGACTGAAGAAAATTACTGGGAGTGCTTGGACTTCATATAGAAGAAATGTATATCTTGGCTATTTATTTATTGTTTTAAATGTGTGAAGTTAGGGAGCTGATGCAGAGGCATTTCTTGTAAGAAATAAGGTTCACATTTATTAAACGCCATCAGACGGAGAGATAGAGCTCTGACTGTGGCAAACTCAGAACATCCATTTATTACCGATACACACAATTCCCCCAGGGGAACCAACCCACCCCTGCATATAAAGAACTTTCTCACACATTTGGAGGAAAAACAACTTTAGTTCATCAAGGCCCTGTTAGTTCCCTGTCAGGTTAATCTATCTTTCACTGGTCAGATGGATCTCCTAATAACAGCAGTCCTCTCCTTCATGCCATGAAAGAGGCTCTGTAAACTCATTCTATATCATGAACTTCCTTTGGAGCCTGTGAGGCTAAGAACAGACAGACCTCAACATTTTTTACTCCACAAATGTCCGGGTTGATAAAACAGAGAAGAATTGAAGCAATGCTGACAGGTTTCCAAAGACAGAATTGCTTCTCTCTGCATTTGTGCCAAATAATTAATGTTTTTTTTTTTTATATTTAAATGTCCTGAAAACTTAATTGTGTAATATGTGTGTGTTGTTACAAACGTTTATATTTTTGCAATGTTTTAATTAAAGATTTATTAATGTTTCTTAATGCCTTTGTAATTTTTTCGAAAATTATGTTCATTACAAAACATTTTAAATGAAAAACTAGGAGCAGAAGGAATAAAAATTATGTTAAATAACTTGAAGAAGAGAGAAAAAAAACATTAAATACTCAAAAAATATTATTCAGAGTCTCGAAGAATAGTGTAGTATGATTAAATCCGTACCAGAATGAACGATGGAAGATCTGCTTCTTCCAATATGGCGGACATCCTGACGTATCGCAGCAATCATAGACATTATATACGTCATTGGATGCCGAGGTGCATAGAGGGTGGCCATTTTGGATCAGACCATTGTTCAGACAGCTGCTGTCTAATTTTACAATAATCTCTTACATGTCACAGCCCTTTAAAAGACCAAAACACATTTTAAAATGACCTTTACATTAGATTACACAGATTTATTCAGATTAAAAACGATTAAACTGAACTCAAGTTTTATATCAATATATTAAAAGTTTATGTTTAACTAATATTATATATTTATATAGTATATTACATTGTTTTGGAAGAAGTTTAAACAAACATAAGAAGAAAAGCATTTAATTAGACACAACATGAATTTACCATTCACTACGATTTGACAAAAAAGTCTTGACAATGACAAAAATAAATAAAAATTAAAATAAAATCAATAAAAAACCTAAATAATAACTTTATTCTCTTTTGTAAATCACATTACAACAAATGCTCCACTATAGATCATAATGCTCATCATCAACGAGCAATCCTTAAAAATACTGAATAATAACAATAATATACTATATAGATATATAATATTTCTAAAACAGAATCTTATATAAGTAGAAAACTTTGTGTTTGATTAATATTTCATTGCAAAATATATAATTTTGCATATATCTCATCCAGTTTGAGTTCAGTTTATATAGTTTTTAATCTGACTAAATGTGTGTAATCTAACTGAAAGCTAATTTAGAAATTTGTTTTGTACTCTTAAGGGGTTGTGACGTGTAAGATATTATTGTAATATTAACTCTGACTCGTTTTTCATTGATTGAAACTGGATCTCAGGCGCCTCCTGTTCATTCTGACAGCGGCTGTGTGAACTATGGTCCGATCCAAGATGGCCGCCCCCTAGGCACGTCGGCCNATTTTAAAATGACCTTTACATTAGATTACACAGATTTATTCAGATTAAAAACGATTAAACTGAACTCAAGTTTTATATCAATATATTAAAAGTTTATGTTTAACTAATATTATATATTTATATAGTATATTACATTGTTTTGGAAGAAGTTTAAACAAACATAAGAAGAAAAGCATTTAATTAGACACAACATAAATTTACCATTCACTACAATTTGACAAAAAAAGTCTTGACAATGACAAAAATAAATAAAAATTAAAATAAAATCAATAAAAAACCTAAATAATAACTTTTTTCTCTTTTGTAAATCACATTACAACAAATGCTCCACTATAGATCATAATGCTCATCATCAATGAGTAATCCTTAAAAATACTGAATAATAACAATAATATACTATATAGATATATGTAAAACAGAATCTTATATAAGTAGAAAACTTTGTGTTTGATTAATATTTCATTTCAAAATATATAACTTTGCATATATCCCATCCAGTTTAAGTTCAGTTTATATAGTTTTTAATATGACTAAATGTGTGTAATCTAACTGAAAGCTAATTTTAAAATTTGTTTTGTACTTTTAAGAGGTTGTGACGTGTAAGATATTATTGTAATATTAACTCTGACTCGTTTTTCATTGATTGAAACTGGATCTCAGGCGCCTCCTGTTCATTCTGACAGCGGCTGTGTGAACTATGGTCCGATCCAAGATGGCCGCCCCCTAGGCACGTCGGCCCGCGTCCAATGAGACGTCAACGGAAGTGAATATTATGGCAGGCTGTTTTGGCATTTATTAGCTTGACTGAATATGTAATCCAGATGTTTTAAATGCATTTATTTATAATAAAAATGAGCATTTCAGATATCTAAAATGTAATTTTTACTGGTACAAATTTCCCATTTATATGTGGCATTTATTTCTGGATAAATTTTTAATAATGCCTATTTAAAATGTAGTTTTAGATACTTTCAAAAGAATAACGAGGCACTGATTTAGTATAAAAATAAGCAGCTGACTAGTCATATTTCTATTATAGATCACACTAAAGCATTCTACCTAGTCACAATTACAATGTTCCTCGTAAGAATTGTCTTTTAGGTATAACTAATTAATTTTCTACCAGTAGAAATCAAATTTTAAGTATTAACTATAAGTAGTAACTATATTTCAGATATCTACAAATCTTTACTAATTTTAAGTGGCCATTTTAACATATATTTGTTTGTATTTCAGTTATCTTACTAAAAACATTTCAGATATCTAAAATGTAAGTCTGCCCCATTTCTTTTTTGAATGCTAGTCAAATATATTTTTAAGTATCTAAAACTGTATTTTGGATAGGAATTATTAAAATTTAGATATCTGAAATTCCATTTTAACTAGTCATATATCAATAGTTGATATCTGTAATTATATTTCTACTGGTAGAAATATTTTTTAGATGTCAATAATTTGATTTCTGTATATCTGTAATGTTATCTTGATTTTTGATATCTGAAATAGTAATTATGAGTAGCAGTAACTCTATTATGGAGATCTGAAATTAATTTAATCCTCGTCAGAATTCATTTTTTGATAGGAAAAATGTTATTTTAGATCATGTGAAAAGTTCATTTGTACTAGGAAGAAATGCATTTGAGACATCTGAAATATATATTCAGTCAAGCTAATAAATTTAAAAAAAGGCCACTTAAAATTTGTAAAGATTTGTAGGTATTTTAAAGTTTATTTTTACTAGTACAATTATATTTTTGGCAGCAAAAAATTTATTTTTTGCTATTTAAACTGTCATTTAGAATATCTATATGTACATTTCTGGCTAGTAGGAATGTAGTTTTGACCAGGAAGAATCTTATTTTAGAGATCAACAAATGGCTACTAATAAATGTCAAAATAGCCTGCCATATTCCTTAAACCCAACGTGTACATTTCTATTGGTCCACTACCGTGCTGACGTGAGTGAAGGGCTGAAGTGCGCATGCTCAATGGAGGCAGCCTCGCTCAGTTTGTGTTTCACTGCAGAGGAATATTTGCTTTAATGTCGAAATAAGCGGACAGTAATGGATTATCAACATTAGCCAAACGGTACATCACACCCGGAAGTCAAAGGCTGTGACGTTCGAGAGAAGCTTGAAAATCCCCGCATAATGGTGAGTTTGTGCCTCTCACCTGGTTGAATGAGGAAGAAGCTAACATGCTAATGCTAGGAAGGTGTTCGCTTCCAGGAAGTGTGCACCTGCGCTACGGTTACCTGTCTGCTCAGCTAACAGGCCTCCTGGCGTCAGACGGCCCCGCTGTTAGCTTAGCATCGCTAGTTAGCATCGCTCGGGTCAGTATTGGTCCAGGATCTGAATGTTTGGAGTCCAGGAGGCAGAAATATTCACATTTATTCCACAGAAGTTTCTGGAATTTATCCTGGATCCGTTTAACGCGCAGATTTATTTCATATATTTATTATTAAGCCTTTAGCTGCTGCTGCACCGGGTTAAATTTAACCCTGAAACTATTAAAAATGTCATATTTCTATGAGAAAACATGGAAACTAATGAAAATCTCAGATTATAATCTTTGAACTGATTAATTCTGGACTAAATAGAGTTCAGAGAGAAATTAAACTTTGCTTTAGAAAGTCTGGGTGTTTTTTTTCAGTAAACAAAAGTTTCTTTGTTTATATTTTTTCCCATTATGACCACGTGACTGGTCACATGTTTATTATTTTTATTGATGTGACCCCTGAGCAGGTCAGCTGGGCAGGGCCCCCCATTCTTACCCTTTGGGCAAGTGACTTTCACATTTCATTTGCCCAGAAACTATTTTTACTTGCCCATTATAATGTTTGATAAATATAGTTCCTAATATTCATTTTTGTATATATATATCAATGAAACATGTTTATTTTTAAAATGTTTTTTGTAATTCAGATAATACTATTAATATAATGTGACTTTTCTAGAGAATAATTAAACATAGTAATTTTATACAGTCATATCCCAAATTTAGGTCTTGTTTCCAAACATGTTCATTTATCCAAATAAAATCTTAAAGTGGTTGTAGGTGTTTTGCTACTGCAGGTGTATTTCCTTCTCCTCAGTAATCCAGACTGATGACCCGGTGAGGGTCGGCCTGGATGGGAAGGAGAGAACGCAAACACAGAAGCAAACCACTTCTTATATGTTTCAGACTGTTTGGATTATTGAACTTTATAAAGAAAAAAGTCTAAATATGGGCAATAATACAGACAAAGCTGCTGGCACCTTTAAGTGGCACCTAGAAATGAATTAAAATGACCAAATTAAAATAATAATGTTCTATTAAATGTATTCATTTCAATGCCATGATGCCTTATATGGGATACATTTTTTGTGCATAAAATGTGTTCAAATTATGCTATATGATATCAGAAATGTGGGTGAAGGATAAAAGTGGATGTTTAGTGAATGGATGAGGATGGGTGGAGGGTAAAGACGATCTCCGATGCTAAGTGGGTGGAGGGTGTGTTACTGTACTTACATTGTTTTGCCTTGTTGTTTTTTTTTAGCATGCCAAGTCGATAAAAATGTGTCTGATTCGCACCAATTCCCGCACAAAAATCACGCCATCTGGCGGAAAATCACGTAGGCCTTTTCAAATCAAGCAAGAATGTGTACAGAACAACAAAAATGCTGCCGGCAACGCTTCTGGGTTGTTTTCATCAAATGTCGGTGATTTTAAAGTAATTTAGAGTGCTAACTTTTTTTTGCGATCGTTGCACTTGCTTGGCGGGCAAATTAATTGAAATTTGTACTCTACTGACAATAAAAACTACTAGCCCCGGGAGATCGGACGATGGTTAACATCGAGCCCTGACATGGCTTCATGTCAAGCTGC